AGATTAACAATAAGGATACACACGTACACAAACAGAAGAAATAATGTCTGCTGACGTGTCTGTAGATTAACAATAAGGATACACACGTACACAAACAGAAGAAATAATGTCTGCTGACGTGTCTGTAGATTAACAATAAGGATACACACGTACACAAACAGAAGAAATAATGTCTGCTGACGTGTCTGTAGATTAACAATAAGGATACACACGTACACAAACAGAAGAAATAATGTCTGGTGACGTGTCTGTAGATTAACAATAAGGATACACACGTACACAAACAGAAGAAATAATGTCTGCTGACGTGTCTGTAGATTAACAATAAGGATACACACGTACACAAACAGAAGAAATAATGTCTGCTGACGTGTCTGTAGATTAACAATAAGGATACACACGTACACAAACAGAAGAAATAATGTCTGCTGACGTGTCTGTAGATTAACAATAAGGATACACACGTACACAAACAGAAGAAATAATGTCTGCTGACGTGTCTGTAGATTAACAATAAGGATACACACGTACACAAACAGAAGAAATAATGTCTGCTGACGTGTCTGTAGATTAACAATAAGGATACACACGTACACAAACAGAAGAAATAATGTCTGCTGACGTGTCTGTAGATTAACAATAAGGATACACACGTACACAAACAGAAGAAATAATGTCTGCTGACGTGTCTGTAGATTAACAATAAGGATACACACGTACACAAACAGAAGAAATAATGTCTGCTGACGTGTCTGTAGATTAACAATAAGGATACACACGTACACAAACAGAAGAAATAATGTCTGCTGACGTGTCTGTAGATTAACAATAAGGATACACACGTACACAAACAGAAGAAATAATGTCTGCTGACGTGTCTGTAGATTAACAATAAGGATACACACGTACACAAACAGAAGAAATAATGTCTGCTGACGTGTCTGTAGATTAACAATAAGGATACACACGTACACAAACAGAAGAAATAATGTCTGCTGACGTGTCTGTAGATTAACAATAAGGATACACACGTACACAAACAGAAGAAATAATGTCTGCTGACGTGTCTGTAGATTAACAATAAGGATACACACGTACACAAACAGAAGAAATAATGTCTGCTGACGTGTCTGTAGATTAACAATAAGGATACACACACACAAACAGAAGAAATAATGTCTGCTGACGTGTCTGTAGATTAACAATAAGGATACACACGTACACAAACAGAAGAAATAATGTCTGGTGACGTGTCTGTAGATTAACAATAAGGATACACACGTACACAAACAGAAGAAATAATGTCTGCTGACGTGTCTGTAGATTAACAATAAGGATACACACGTACACAAACAGAAGAAATAATGTCTGGTGACGTGTCTGTAGATTAACAATAAGGATACACACGTACACAAACAGAAGAAATAATGTCTGGTGACGTGTCTGTAGATTAACAATAAGGATACACACGTACACAAACAGAAGAAAAATAATGTCTGCTGACGTGTCTGTAGATTAACAATAAGGATACACACGTACACAAACAGAAGAAATAATGTCTGCTGACGTGTCTGTAGATTAACAATAAGGATACACACGTACACAAACAGAAGAAATAATGTCTGCTGACGTGTCTGTAGATTAACAATAAGGATACACACGTACACAAACAGAAGAAATAATGTCTGCTGACGTGTCTGTAGATTAACAATAAGATTAACAATAAGGATACACACGTACACAAACAGAAGAAATAATGTCTGCAGACGAAATAATGTCTGGTGACAATAAGGATACACACGTACACAAACAGAAGAAATAATGTCTGCTGACGTGTCTGTAGATTAACAATAAGGATACACACGTACACAAACAGAAGAAATAATGTCTGCTGACGTGTCTGTAGATTAACAATAAGGATACACACGTACACAAACAGAAGAAATAATGTCTGCTGACGTGTCTGTAGATTAACAATAAGGATACACACGTACACAAACAGAAGAAATAATGTCTGGTGACGTGTCTGTAGATTAACAATAAGGATACACACGTACACAAACAGAAGAAATAATGTCTGGTGACGTGTCTGTAGATTAACAATAAGGATACACACGTACACAAACAGAAGAAATAATGTCTGCTGACGTGTCTGTAGATTAACAATAAGGATACACACGTACACAAACAGAAGAAATAATGTCTGCTGACGTGTCTGTAGATTAACAATAAGGATACACACGTACACAAACAGAAGAAATAATGTCTGCTGACGTGTCTGTAGATTAACAATAGAGGATACACACGTACACAAACAGAAGAAATAATGTCTGGTGACGTGTCTGTAGATTAACAATAAGGATACACACACACACAAACAGAAGAAATAATGTCTGCTGACGTGTCTGTAGATTAACAATAAGGATACACACGTACACAAACAGAAGAAATAATGTCTGCTGACGTGTCTGTAGATTAACAATAAGGATACACACGTACACAAACAGAAGAAATAATGTCTGCTGACGTGTCTGTAGATTAACAATAAGGATACACACGTACACAAACAGAAGAAATAATGTCTGGTGACGTGTCTGTAGATTAACAATAAGGATACACACGTACACAAACAGAAGAAATAATGTCTGCTGACGTGTCTGTAGATTAACAATAAGGATACACACGTACACAAACAGAAGAAATAATGTCTGCTGACGTGTCTGTAGATTAACAATAAGGATACACACGTACACAAACAGAAGAAATAATGTCTGCTGACGTGTCTGTAGATTAACAATAAGGATACACACGTACACAAACAGAAGAAATAATGTCTGGTGACGTGTCTGTAGATTAACAATAAGGATACACACGTACACAAACAGAAGAAATAATGTCTGTCTGTGACGTGTCTGTAGATTAACAATAAGGATACACACGTACACAAACAGAAGAAATAATGTCTGCTGACGTGTCTGTAGATTAACAATAAGGATACACACGTACACAAACAGAAGAAGAAATAATGTCTGGTGACGTGTCTGTAGATTAACAATAAGGATACACACGTACACAAACAGAAGAAATAATGTCTGGTGACGTGTCTGTAGATTAACAATAAGGATACACACGTACACAAACAGAAGAAATAATGTCTGGTGACGTGTCTGTAGATTAACAATAAGGATACACACGTACACAAACAGAAGAAATAATGTCTGGTGACGTGTCTGTAGATTAACAATAAGGATACACACGTACACAAACAGAAGAAATAATGTCTGCTGACGTGTCTGTAGATTAACAATAAGGATACACACGTACACAAACAGAAGAAATAATGTCTGGTGACGTGTCTGTAGATTAACAATAAGGATACACACGTACACAAACAGAAGAAATAATGTCTGCTGACGTGTCTGTAGATTAACAATAAGGATACACACGTACACAAACAGAAGAAATAATGTCTGCTGACGTGTCTGTAGATTAACAATAAGGATACACACGTACACAAACAGAAGAAATAATGTCTGCTGACGTGTCTGTAGATTAACAATAAGGATACACACGTACACAAACAGAAGAAATAATGTCTGCTGACGTGTCTGTAGATTAACAATAAGGATACACACGTACACAAACAGAAGAAATAATGTCTGGTGACGTGTCTGTAGATTAACAATAAGGATACACACGTACACAAACAGAAGAAATAATGTCTGCTGACGTGTCTGTAGATTAACAATAAGGATACACACGTACACAAACAGAAGAAATAATGTCTGGTGACGTGTCTGTAGATTAACAATAAGGATACACACGTACACAAACAGAAGAAATAATGTCTGCTGACGTGTCTGTAGATTAACAATAAGGATACACACGTACACAAACAGAAGAAATAATGTCTGCTGACGTGTCTGTAGATTAACGTCATTCAATATCCTGTGCAACTGAATCTACAGTTACTATTTCATGGGTTATTTTCGTTAATTTCTACTATCTTAAATACCAATGGTGAGACAATTGAGAGAAACGGGGCACTTTAAAACAAGATTCCGAAAAAGATACAAATTTCAAATTCAAGTTCCTACACAACGATGACGCCGTGTGTCACTTATAGTAGGTGAAGGAAAATGTCGCGATGCAGAAGAATCTAAATTACATTCTACCACAGTAGCCTACATGTAGTTCCATATACCGTGTCTATATCATTAAACAAACCCTTAGTCACTATAAATATCCACATGGGTACAATGTGTGAAGCCAATTACTGGTGTGCCCCGTCGTGATATTGCTGGAATATTGCTAAAAGCGGCGTAAAACTTCATTCACTCACTGACTCTATAAGTATCATTTTGATAGAAAGAAGGAAGGCCATTTAATCTGAAAAGGGGCCCTTATGAGCTGGGAGTTTATGGAAAAGGAACAAAAGAGTTAAATCAAATTTTACGAAAACGTCATATCTGTATACGCACCACTATGTTCGGCGCACCACTCCCGGTAACGTCAAAAGTTATCTTTTCAAGCTGTTGTTGAGCAATTGATAAATGAAATATAAAATATGTTGCTTTGAGGCATTTTCATGACTTTAGGATTGGTCAAATGCTAGCTATCGCTGAGGATTTTTGTTTTATTATAATGGTATAGATGGTTTATTAATTCTATACAATGTGTTTGATGGATACTTTGTATATATCACAATTTATTTTCTTTCTTTTTAAAAAAAGAAATTTGCCATTAAATATAATTATTAGCGTAACAGTTTCACATAAAAAACATTAATTTGTCGAGACAAATCCGCACATATGCCGCGTATGAAAAATAGGTCGACATATAAAACAGCTTTAACAAGCATACGCAGTATCATGTACTTAAAAGGTTATTATAAATCTGTATTACATTGATTAACGATGGTTAACGAATGGATATTTTCTGTGGGTGGTTATATTCATTCGCGCAAGAATCTTATCGGTTTGGGACTATTTTGACCCAGTTTCGGCACTTTCCGGCGCACGCTACGGAAAATTACGAGCCGGCAGTTAATCACATCTCGAAGCAGACCACAGACCTAGTGGACATGGCCGGGGCCGGCGATCATTTCTTCGAAGGAACAGAGAAACTGTTAGAGGTGTGGTTTGCATCTTCCAGTGATGAAAAGTGCGATCTACGGACCGTTCCAAGGTGAAACTATGTTTTTATTACCTTGCCACATCGATCACGTGTATTGCCTCTCGGTCGAACACCGGCAGAAGAGGTGTACTCGGGCGACAGCAGATGCTAAGGCTTAGTATATTCTGTCACAAGTATCCACTATAAAAGTCAATGTTCAAATTCTGATTGGTGCTTAAAAACATGGTCGGGGGAAACAGACACGTAGCTTAGTATGTTCATATCGATGCTAACCTGCTCTTCACTTTTGTTGTCATTGTGCCAGTTTTCTCAAAATAACCCAATTCCATTGCGCCAGGAACAGGGGTTGTCATGACAACGTACATGTTATAACCTACCTGCAGTTCCTTAATCTCTTGAGGATAGGATCATGTTGGTGTGTTTGTGCATATATATCGTAGGTGTGAATAACAGCTTAATGCCCTGTTATCTAGTTTATTCATTTTCATCATGATTTGCATTATTTATTGAAGCAGTTTCTCAACGTTTTTCTAACCCGTAATGACAGAGAAATACTGCATACAAATGTTTTCTAAAATGTTTAATAATAAACTGGATCTCAGCACAGTGGTTCAAGTGTAAAGATTCCTGTAAGAGCACATCTGAATACTAGGCCTTGTATACCCCTAATTTAACAAGCGCAGGTAGCCCTGTTTGTGTTAATTATGTATTTAGTGTGAAAGTAAACCCCACTGTTTTACAGAGTGTATACCATCTTGATTGTTATGTTACTATCAAACTGTGCTATGATTTAGACACAGCTTAACATTGCATTAAGCCAGGCTCATTCACTTCTTATTGAGTTTGTTGATAAGCTATTTCCATACCATAATCCAGTTGTTTTTATGCGCTGTTGAAATTACATGCAAACCGTTTATTTATGTCACATCCCAACGTAACTAAACTCACTCACTCTTGCCAGCTCCTTCATATTGCCCAGGAGCTGCCATGTTGATATGACAGAATCATTGTTAAAAGCAGTTCTGTAACTGTAAGCAAATATTTATACCAGGAATTATCTAATATCCCAAACGAAGTGCCCTTGTGAGCGAATCGGGAAAAGATCATTATCATATTCAAATTTGGGATTTGGGGATTTTTTCCCTTAATTCAGAAGTATTCATAATTTTGATTTGCAACTTTTGATTCAATTCAGTGATGATAGAAGAACCTTTTAAGCCTCTTCTATTTTAGTTGTTTGTTATCAGTATGTACAGTTCACCTGTACAAGCCTTGTTACATCTGCAACAGGAGGAAATCTGAAACATATTAATTCCAGTTTGGGATTTTTTACTGAATTTGCTGCTGACTCTGAATATAATGGCCTCTGTCTGTGAACAGGGCTAGATATGGAAACCTATCTGGAGTGTACTGCACTGAATACTGTGTGCACAAGATGGAGCTGTGATACAGATGTGCTGGCATGTGTCAATTCTCCCATCACACAAGTCACAAAACTGGAACAAATATGATTTATGCTCACAACACAAAACAAATCTAGGTCAAACCAAAATCATTTTGGTTACCTGTTTCAGCCAATTCTAAGCAGGGTGGTAGGTGCTGTCTGTTTAAGTATTTTTGAAAGTTATCATTACATTGTAATTTGCAGTATGTCAGTAAAATTCTGATTTCAAATGAAGCTAATTACTGGGTTGTATTTAGTGATTATGGAAGCCCTATATATTTACTCTGAGAGCATAGGAAATGAACAAGACAAGAAATACAGTTCGCTCGACTCTGTGTATAGTGCTATAAAGTACAGTTTTTTCCCTGAACTCTATAGATTTAGATTTTTAATAATGACAAAGCCTTTTTAGCTGAAACATGCATCAATTGAGTTCATGCATCTGTTCCTACTGTTGATCTACCACAACAGATACGTAGTTGTTTGGAATACGCTTGGATGCTCATGACTTGTCACAGATTGCTGTATTGGTGGCGGCTTTGTAAAGGTTGTATTTGTTTATAGTCTGACATTTTGTGACCTTGACCTCAGAAACTGGCTTTTCAAAGGTCAAGGTAACACTCTATTCAATGAGTGTGAATTCCATTCCAAACAAATAATCCTGACACAAGAGTCACTCATGCTCATCCAGTATTCTCATATTCCTCTGATCAGTGTTAAAAGTTGTGGAAAGGAAATATTTTTTTTTATGGGATGGACAATATTTTCTTACACGAAAGACATGTATGACCCATTTTAATTCTTTGGATTTGCCTTTTGTATAAATCATTTAAATACACAATACCTGGTTGCCAAGAGGATATAGTTTGTAAAATTTATTGGTTCCAGATATTTAAAAAATGTGAAAGATTTTTTCAGTATGATAATTTTGTGATATTTTATTTGTTTGTTTATATTTTGTTTAACGCCACACTCAGCAATATTCAAGCTCTGTGGTGGTGGTCAGTTAATGATCGAGTCTGGACCAGATAATCCAGTGATTGCGTTGAAAGGAACTGTAGAAAAAAGTATCTGAAGTTACATCTCCTGTATTTGATGGTTGACCAGACAATTCGGTGATCAACAGCATGAGCATCGATCTACGCAATTGGGATGTGTTGACATGTGTCAACCAAGTTAGCCAGCCTGACCACCTGATACTGTTAGTCACCTCTTACAACAGGCATGGCTTACTGAAGAACAGTTCTAAGCCAGATCATCGCGGGTCTGATATTTATAGAAGTTTTTGATTTTGCAAATAAATATGCAATACCAAGCTGTTAAGGGAAGGATACTTTTCAGTTACACGAATGGCCTTTTCTTCTAAGACTTTCTTTGACCCACTGTGTGAATATCTTAGGGAAAGGACTTGTTTTTATGCCACCCGCCATATATGGCTGGGGGCATATAGGATTACTCTCCGTGTCCTTCCATCCGTACGAAACAGGGAATGTACTCTATCCACTTCTCCACAAAAAACGCTCTGTGGAATTCAATGAACTTATATATGGGCTTTCTTGGGACTCTAATGGTGTGCATCTTATATTCTGTTTTTGTATTTTATTGGTTTTTTTGTAAGTTTAGAGACATTTGAACTTAGGTACATTTTGCTGAATTTCTCTATGATGATAGTGTAATATAGGATGAAATCTATCCACTTCTCCACAAAAACTGCTCTACAGAATTGAATTAACTTCTACATGTCTTTCGTAGGGACTCTAAAGGTGTGCATTTTCGTAATTTTTTATGCAGTTTCTTAATTTTGTCACTTTTACAGATTTTTGAATTTTGTTCTATTCAGCCTGTTCGTTCCATCCAACAGGGGGTGTACGTTATCCACTTCTCCTCAAAAACTACTTTATGGAATTCATTTAGATTACACATGTGCTTTATAGGGACTCTAAAGGCGTGCATCTCATATTTTGATTTTGTATTTTATTTATTTTTCCAATTTTAATTTTCCGTTTGAACTTACATAAACTTTGTTGAATTTCTCTCTGAATATAGTGTTATAGGGGATGAAGTCTATCCACTTCTCCACAAAAGCTACTCTACAGAATTGATTGAGCTTCTACATGTGTTTCATTGGGACTCTAAAGGTGTGCATCTCATACCTTGTTCATCCAAGTTCTTAATTTTGTCACTTCTCCAGATGTTTGAACTTAGTTGAATTTGGTTCTATTCGTCCTGTTCGTCCCATACAACAGGGGGTGTACTTTATCCACTTCTCCTCAAAAACCACTGCACAAAACTTGTATAGCTTACATATGTCTTTTATAGAGACTCTAAAGGTTTGCATCTCATATTTTATTTTTGTATTTTATAGGTTTTTTTTATGTTTAGAGACATTTGAACTCTCTGATGATAGTGAAATATGGGATTAAGTCTATCCACTTCTCCACAAAAACTGCTCAACAGAATTGATTAAGCTTATACATGTGTTTCATTGGGACTCGAATGGTGTGCATCTCATAGTTGCATAGATGTTTATTGAACGTGTTCATGAATTTTGTTCAATTATTGATCTTTATATGATAATAGGTTGTGTTATCTTAACCTGCCATATTGAATATGTTCCAGATTATGTCAAAACTTACCACTTTAGCTTCTACAGCAATCTATTGCTTTCATCTGCCTCCACAGTGATATTGCTAGTTTATTTACCCTTGTACCATGAACCTTCATGATATAGGATTAATTGTACTGTGGTAAGTTCATTGTGACATACATTTACAAATAAGTATTTACCTTGGGCACTTTGGATATATTTATGTTATGATCAACCATGATATTTATTTAGTAGAAATTAATCACCAGAGCACGCTCAGTGTAGGGAACTCTTCCTACAGCAGCGGGGACATCCGTGTCCCTGGACACAATTTTTTCTTGTTGTGAAATAAATATTCTGCTAAATTCATGCTCCTTCAAAGAAAATGCTGGCAGTTCAGTGATGAATACACCATTGCATGTTTGTTTTTAAGGAATCAAAAGGAAGATGTGTATAATGCCAGCTGTTACCATGATCGTATTCAGTTTGTTGCTCATGCTACTTACCCGACATCTAGTGTTACTGCTTTTGTTACGGTCAGAATATCATGCCACATGGCTAGTTTACTGCAAGGAATAATCTTCCAGCATGACAGGTGCTTCGACGGGTTTCAGTACCATTTAGTTTTACGCTGACTGTCACAGAAGAAACATTGAACTATGGAACTATGATATTTACTTCAGCAGGAAAAATGTCAGAAGACATTCTCTGTAAAACGTGTGCTTTGTCAAGTTTAGACTCAGTCTAATCATAGTGGTCCTGGAAATTACCAATAATCATTAATAATGATTCCCATCGAAGATATTTCTGTTTTATCAATTTTCTTTAGCCAGCCCTAATGCTTTGGACTCCCAAGAATTATTACTGTGAGTTCCAGAGAAGAGGCAGGGTAGCCTAGTGGTCAAAGCATTTGTTTGTCACGCCAAAGACCCGGGTTTGATTTCCCATGTGGGTACAATGTGTGAAGCCCCAACATGATATTGCTGAAATATTGCTAAGACGGCATAAAACGATACTCACTCAGTCCTTAAAAGATGGCCCCAGTAAACCACTCTGATGTTTACTACTTGTGTTGACATAGACACAAGAGATTAGACATTTGGACTTGACCCTATGTGGCTTTTTGACATGTCCACTAAAGTTGTTTCATTCTGGTTTGTCAGGAAAGAATGGGAAGGTCTACTCAAGCTTGTCCGATGCGAGATCATCAGCTGCATCTCGGGCGAAGACATGGATGCATACGTGCTCAGGTAAGACTGATTCATCCTATTTATACAGCAGCCCATACTTGCACCATTGTTGTCACCTGTGAAAAATAGTACGGGAAGTTTAGTACTGTCAGAGGTTATGCATCTGGCTGCTCCTAGCTGCAAATAGCTGCAAAATCACTCTCACTCACTCAGCGGGGCGGTGGGGTAGCCTAGTGGTTAAAGCGTTGGCTCGTCACGCCGAAGACCCGGGTTCGAATCCCCACATGGGCACAATGTGTTAAGCCCATTTCTGGTGTCCCCCGCCGTGATATTGCTGGAATATTGCTAAAAGCGGCGTAAAACTAAACTCAGTCAGCACTCACTCAGCCACCCACTCACTAACCCACCGACCCACCTTCTTCCACATTACAAGGGTACCTGCAATTATGGTTCCATAAATTAATTTCCTTGCTATACATGTTTGTTTTCTTGAGTATACACATTTATTGATGTTATTTTATTCAGTGCACAGAGAACAAATTGGGTACAAGTATTCTCTGAAACTAATGAAATTACATGAAGTTACCCATGACAGACTATGAAATATTTTTCTGATGATGTAAAGTGACCCCAGTACACAGCTCTTTATATGTCTCTCTTTTAAAGTAACATTTACTTCCATATCATTCATTACTATATGACGAAGGGTGGCAGGACAGAATTGTGGTTAAAGCATTCACTCACAACGCTGAAGACCCGGGTTTGCTTCCCCACATGGGCACAATATGTGAAGCCCTTTCTGGTGTCTACCACCATAATATTGCTGGAATATTGCTCAAAGCAGCATAAATCTCGCTTGCTCACTCACTCACTCTGCTCTTGTGCGATGGTCTTAGTTTTGTTCATGTTGATTCATTTTAATGTTGCTGTTCTTATCAGCATTTTAGTTTAATCTAACATCAGATTTAACCACGGTTGATTGACCAAAAGGAGAATCTCTAAACATAGTGTGTTATCATGGTGATGTTATAAAACATAAGGAAAACATTTTCTGCTGTTTACAACAAAGGTAAACAGGTGTAGCATAATTAATTCAACATCGAAAATACATTTAAATTACAAGCAATCTGTCTCCCAGACCTAAGGAACAAATTTAAAAAGCAGTCCAACTCACTCTAGACTGATCAGGCATTTCTAGATTGCATCACCTTTTTGTTTGTTTATGCTTAATTTTCTAATAATTGCCAATAGTCAGAGAGATGGTTTAACATGACTCTTTGTTTCTTCCTTACCGCAGCGAGAGCAGCATGTTTGTGACCAAGGACAGGTTTATTCTAAAGACCTGTGGACGAACCACTTTGCTGTTAGCCATGAACCCACTCATCAAGATAGTGAAGGATAACTGCGGATTTGACAAAGTCATGGTAAGTTCAGAATTTCACTGATATATTGTTTGCTGGGTTCTCTTCGTGACCAGAGTTCCAGCATAGTGTTTTGTTTTGTTATTTATAGGTACAGGGTCGTCGTGGTATGTGTGATATTTGTTTGGCAGATGTCAAACTTGTTAAAAATATTTTAGCAGCTACTTGCAACATGGTTTGGGTTTTGTGGGAAGTGTTCTGGGAACATAGTAAATGTAACATAGTAACACAGTGCTGGACCCTGTTTCATACAGCTATAGTACCGCTACAACTGTTGTTAGTCTGTGTTACAATATAGGAGGTACGACAGTCGTAGCGCTACCATAGCTTTGTGAGACGGGGGCTTGGCATTATCTGCTGGGAATTAGGTGGCAGAAAGTGCCTCCACTCAATCTGAGAGAGACATGCATTGTGTGCCTTTAATGAAAAATCAGTTGAGTTCTTACAAATGACTATAGTCTGTTTGCAATGAAAACGTACCGATGAATTTCACTTTAAACAAAAACGTAAATCAAATAAAGTGAAATTAGAAGAACGAATCCTCATGATTTTACCTTGCCAATTGAACATTTAAATCTCAGAATTTTATTCAACTTAGGATAAAAGTTGTTTAACAAATGATCATAGTTTCAAATCGCTATTGTTGGTTGTATTAAAAGGGGGTATGCACATTAAATGAAACACCGAGAAGAAGTAGGGTTGGTCTAAGTTAACGCTCATCACGTACTGCACGTGCATTTGTATCACTGTTCCAATTACTGCGTTTACTCCCTTGTAATACAAACCAAAAATGGCGATTTGAATCTATGATCACCTGTAAAACAGCTTTTATCCTAAGTTGAATAAAATTCTGAAATTTATATGTTTAATTGGCAAGGTAAAATTATGAGGATTCGCAATCTTAATTTCACTTTATTTGATTTACTTTTTTGTTTAAAGAGAAATTCATTGCTACGTTTTCACTGCAAACAGACTTTAGTGAGGATTGGATGGTTACACTGCTACCATGGATACCTGAAAATGTGTCCTCATGGCATGGGTTGTTGTTCATTCTATCAACCAACTCAAGCCACTCATATATGCTGCTCAAAATAAGTTCTGAAACCTGGTTTTGTAAGATAGTAGTTTATTTGTCATGTCACAACAGATTAACTATAGTAAAATAATTGGGAGTTCTGTGACATTTTTTAACTTATAATTGATGGGACTGTTTGTTATTTGTTGAATGCAGTTGATGACACCTGATGTTAGTATTGTGACATATTTATTTCATAAATCATAATATAAACACTGCAACAAAGTGATATACATTTTTTATAAATAATTCATAAAAAGAAGTTAAACGATTTGTTAAACATTTTTCTTGTTTCTGAATTTGTATGTATGTTTTTGCCCACTTACTCTGTTGATGGATGAGCATAGAGATGAAACGCATGAAAATATAGGGGTTGCCTTGTGGTTTACCTTGATTTGGGAATAATTCTCTTGCAGGATATCTTCTATTCTCGGAAGAATTTCTCTCGTCCAGAACTTCAGCATGGAGTTCATCGAAGTTTTGAAGATGAGGTAACTGCAATTACGTAGAGGGTAATGTCCGAGTAACTCTCCATTCCTTAAAAATAATGGAGCCGAGGCACATTGTTTTTAAGGAATGGAGAGTTACGAGGATATTACCCTACTTAAATTACATTCAAAGTATTGGGAATATTTCTGTTATCAAAGTTATATGTCAAAATGACAAAATGAAGTCTTTAATTTGAAGCTGGTACACATCGCTCCATCCCTGAAAAGTAATGGAGCGAGCAGACAATGGAATGACGTCACAAATGTAATTTAATATTTAGATACTAGGCCTGGGACAATGCACCAACTGTTTTATGTGATAGGTATCATGACACATTACTCACTGTGCCACTATTATATGTTATGACAGTGGTTAAAATTCTTTTCTTCATCATTCTCTGATTACTTAAAAAGTTTAAAGAAAATTTGTACATGGATGCAATGAAATCTCACATATTCTGTAAATTGCCATAACTTTTGCTTCTGCACATTATGAATGTGTGTAAATTAATCAACACACTAATTAAGTTATGAATGCATTATTTAGATAATTAGATAGATATAGATAGATATAAATCACATATATTTATATACAGTAGGATTAGACTTTTCAAATGATGACTGACATGTATTAGCAAAGATGTTTTACAGAATCAGGGGGTGGAAATAACTTTAAAATTGCTAGTGTACTCCGGTACAGTGGCACATGTAAATTCACTTGCCCTGATAATTTTTCCACTCTACTGGCCATTTTCTTGTTGATTTTTTAAATAAACAACATAATTAACATTGGAAAGTCAACTGGACACTGGTACAGTGTGATATACAAATTTGCTTGCCCGACAGAAAAACCCATTGGACTCAGGCAATGGGTTATTTCCACCCCTGAGAATGATAATGTCCTTGATAAATGTAGACTTCATATATCCCCCATCTCTGGGAAATTGACCTGGTGATAATCTATTCTACTTTGTGGAGCCATAAGTACATTATATACTCCCACATCGGTACAGTGTATGAAGCCAATTTCTGGTGTCCTCCGTCGTGATATTGCTAAAAGCGGCGTAAAACTAAAACTAAGTCACATTATATACTCACTAGACTATCAATAGAGAAGAAGCTGAAAATGTATCAACTAAAACTGGTAAATAGAATGGTGAATCAGTCTGTTGTAAACTTCTGAATGTATTTCAAATATGTGTTTGTCTTTCAGGTAACGCACCTGGATACGCTATTTCCAAGTAAGTATTCTAGCACGACATTGTGTGATACTCTATTCTGATTGGGTGAGAGCTCATCAAAACAGTACTTAAATGGCAGTTTAAGACCGCTTATTAAAGAGACCGATTCACCGCGTATGAATACAATGAACTCGTTGACCCTTTTGTTTGTAAACAAACATGTCGGACATTGGCGATTTCTACCTCGGCAGCATGTTTGATGTTTTTGAAGTAAAAAGCGACTGGTTTGTAGAAGAAGTTTTTGGCCCTAATACCAGTGAAGAAACTATGAAGCTGGAAAATCCGTCAGCCGCGCCAAAAGTGGCAGTATTCAAACCAGGACTAGATCTAGCGGGCTTGACGTCGACAACACACATCGGCCCACAAGTCCTAACCTGACCGCTTCCGTCCTGGCTGTAATGCCCAGTCGTTCCACTTCCACTGTCCATGTATCTCACATAAAACGTAGCATGTCAGGTCTTTTCTAAATTGAGAATAGTAGGGTGGTTATCAACAATTATTTATTTATTTTTAGAGGCTAAACTTAGCGAGTTCACGGCTTGAATTGGGGCGAGTTGATTGTCATACAGTAGGGGAGATCAATAGTTTGCTTGAGAAAAATCAAATAATTGTACTTACTCACAGTATATACAGTATTTTTTTTATTTATGTATGTTACTTGTTACAAATACAAGCATACTGGTCCTTGAAATAAGGCATTTATGTTGTTGAAAATGTCTTATTTTGTTCATTACACAACCTGTCCCTCAACGGGACGATTCCAAGCGATTTCCAGCAAAAAGGCCCCATCACGACTTGTGTTCTTGCGCGCCAAACAGTTCGTTCTAAAATGCTTATCAGTCGTGCTAGAATGAAGATAAAACTACTCTGTTTTCAATTTTGTGGTCTTTTATCATTGACTTAAGACCGCTAAATCTTAATTTTTTTATTTGTAAACCTCACGCTAACACGTTGGGTTTTTAAATTACATTTAGCGGTCTTAAATCAACGATAAAAGACCGCAAAATTGAAAACAGAGTAGCTTTATCTTCTAATTCTCAGAGAAATCCTGTGGTGATTCCATGCCAAACAAGGCCGAAGTTTCCAATTGTACCCAGATTTAGTCTGGCTAATTGTGTGTTATTGTGACATAGGAGTGTCGGCTCCTAATTGGTTAAAAAACGTTAGAAGGATTGGAGGTTTCAGGCAGCCATGACGTGGCTGAAATTTTGCGGGCTAAACCGTGAAACACAAATCACTCTTTGCCATAGTGGAAGTAGAGATTCTGTTCACGGTCCATCCTTGTAATGCTCAGAATACAACATACTTGTTACTCTATACAAATTGATTTTTCCTACTATGGGCAGCATCTGGTAGAGCTGTTTCGTCCATCTGTGAATTTATTGAGGAAACATGCACACATGGTAACAATAGAATTAATGGATAAGACATGAGCTGGAAACATTTCACAATGATTAGTTTGTGAAGTAATTTGGGATGTTTAGTGACATCTTGTATCAACACCTACCCCGCTGCTTGAGATTGAATATAGACTATTGTGACTGAATATTGCATTTCTCCAACACGGCCTAGTGAGCAGGCACACATGTGGAACCTTTGAATGTTGGTTCATTTTGAGAACCTGCTAGAATTTTTGAAGATTTTCTCTTCCTTTTTGTTATATATTAACAGACTTGCCTATCCAAACGATTTTGGCATAAGGCTTACTATTTTTGGTGCTAAATTACGACCTTACGATCATACTGAAATTCCTTACGACTTCTACACATAAATGGTAGAAAACTAGATCTAGACATGCCCATGCTATTTACAGAGTCATTTACGGTACATAAAGTACTGAAAAACAGAAGTCGCATCATAAACATTATAAATAAATTATCTTTGCATCTTACAGTGCTGGTAAAGTTTATTTCAAAGTTAGACTTTAAAAAACGTTAATTAGATTGGCACCACATTTGACTATTTGCACTATATTAAGATTTTAACCGGCTATGTTTTTCCTTTATTTCTTGACATTACCATGCCTTACTATCAAATGCACTTGCCTCACTACTTTTTTTAGCTGATCTAACTATTTTCTGTACAAGGGGTAGGCAAGTCTGTATTAACAATTCAGCAGTCCTGATGTTCATGCAAAGTTACTATACTTTAACTTTTTTCCTAACTATCATATCTGCCATGTATTAAGCAAAATGACCATGCTCTCAGATTTATCACAAGCTGCTCTCTTGTAAATAGTTCATGGTCATAGTATCTTGAAACCTGTCCATCCTAAATTACTATCCTAGTAAGCCAGTTGTATAATCTGATAAGGTGGTGCAGACACTCGTTGCTTGCATGAAACTATGCTGGCACAGATCTGCGTGTGACCTTCACCTTGGTGTCCAGCTGTGGCTAATCAGGGAGATACATACTGAACTGTTTTGAAGTAATTGGGACTGTCAGCTCTATTAGATAACTAACTACTTGTATTAAGTTGGGTAGTCTCTTGAGGGTAGTCTAGTGGTTTTTAGTCTTGTTGTTTAACACCACACAGCGGTCATCGAACTATATGATGGCGGCCTGTAAATATTCGAGTCTGGACCAGACAATCCAGTGATTGACATCATCAGCATTAATCTACGCAATTAGGATACAATGATATGTCAACAAAGTCAGTGAGTTTGACAACCCAATCACGTTAATCGCCTCTTAAAACAAGCATGGGTTGCTTAAGACCAATTCTGGCTGGGATCTTCACTGGTGTAGCCTAGTGAGCAAGGCATTAGTTCATCACACAAGGATGGGGTTCGACACAGTTGGGTGTGATGTGTGAATCCTGTTTCTGGTCTTTTGTGTTATATTGCAGGAATAGTTCAGAAATCAGTCCAATGACCCTGTTCCACTCAATGACCTTATCCCGCGTAAAACTTAACTCACTCACTCAAACTCAGTCAATGATCTTATCAGTCTTGCACTTTACTTTTGATTTCTCTTTGGCCTTCACTCATGTGGTCTGCATGGCTTTTGCGATTGGAATCTTGCATGGTAGAAATCGTGATGGCACAACTGAGATAATTGACCAATGTCATGATATGTGGGATAAAAATATTGTCACGGCAGATGAAAGGACATGTGAAATTAGCATATGGACAGGATGACTCACAAATAACCCTGGCAAGACAGAAATATGTTTTCCCAGTCTCCCGGTGAAAATAGAAGATTGAGACTTCAGTGTTACAATGTAACTCTTGGTGAAATTGTGTTCATTGTGATTAATGGTGGATCAAAAATATTATTCTTGTTGGCATGCTGGAATTGCTAAAGAGACACTTAAACACTTAAAGGGAAATATAGTTCTTCCCTGGACATGTTTGAAGAACATACTGTGGTTGAGTATGGCCTTTGAACCAGAGATAAATCGTGTCAGTCACACTCGGTCTCAGTCAGTTTCAGTCTCAGTTTCAGGCAGATTCAGCCTCAGTCAGTCAGTCAGTTTCAGGCAATATCAGCCTCAGTCAGTCAGTCACTTTCAGGCAACCTCGGCCTCAGTCAGTTTTAGGCAACCTCAGCCTCAGTCAGTCACTTTCAGGCAACCTCAGCCTCAGTCAGTCAGTCACTTTCAGGCAGCCTCAGCCTCAGTCAGGCAGCCTCAGCCTCAGTCAGTCAGTTTCAGGCAACCTCAGCCTCAGTCAGTCACTTTCAGGCAACCTCAGCCTCAGTCAGTCAGTTTCAGTCTCGGTCTCAGGCAGACTCAGCTTCAGCCTCAGTCAGTCAGTCAGTTAGTTTCAGGCAATCACAGCCTCAGTCAGTCAGTCACTTTCAGGCAACCTCAACCTCAGTCAGTCAGTCACTTTCAGGCAACCTCAGCCTCAGTCAGTCACTTTCAGGCATCCTCAGCCTCAGTCAGTCAGTTTCAGGCATCCTCAGAATCAGCCTCAGTCAGTCATTTTCAGGCAGCCTCAGCCTCAGTCAGTCAGTTAGTTTCAGGCAATCTCAGCCTCAGTCAGTCAGGTTCAGGCAATATCAGCCTCAGTCAGTTTTAGGCAACCTCAGCCTCAGTCAGTCACTTTCAGGCAGCCTCAGCCTCAGTCAGGCAGCCTCAGCCTCAGTCAGTCACTTTCAGGCAACCTCAGCCTCAGTCAGTCACTTTCAGGCAACCTCAGCCTCAGTCAGTCAGTTTCAATCTCAGTCAGTTACTTTCAGGCAGCCTCAGCATCAGCCTCAGTCAGTCACTTTCAGCCCTCAGTCAGTCAGTCTCATCCTCAGTCTCTTTCAGGCAGCCTCAGCCTCAGCCTCAGTCAGTCAGTCACTTTCACTTTCAGCCTCAGTCAGTCAGTTAGCAGCCTCAGCCAGTCAGTCAGTCACTTTCAGGCAGCCTCAGCCTCAGTCAGTCAGTCACTTCTCTCAGGCAGTTTCAGCCTCAGCCTCAGTCAGTCAGTTTCAGGCAGCCTCAGCAGTTTCAGGCAGCCTCAGTCAGTCAGTCACTTTCAGGCAGCCTCAGCCTCAGTCTCAGTCAGGCAGTCAGCCTCAGGCAGTCTCAGCCTCAGTCAGTCAGTCAGTTCTCAGGCAGCCTCAGCCTCAGGCAGTTTCAGTCAGTTTCAGGCAGCCTCAGCCTCAGTCAGTCAGTTTCAGGCAGCCTCAGCCTCAGTCAGTCAGTTTCAGGCAGCCTCAGTCAGTCAGTCAGTTTCAGGCAGCCTCAGTCCTCAGTCAGTCAGTTTCAGGCAGCCTCAGCCTCAGTCAGTCAGTCACTTTCAGGCAGCCTCAGCCTCAGTCAGTCAGTCAGTTTCAGGCAGCCTCAGCCTCAGTCAGTTTTTCAGGCAGCCTCAGCCTCAGTCAGTCAGTTTCAGGCAGCCAGCCAGCCTCAGTCAGCCTTTCAGGCAGCCTCAGCCCAGTCAGTCAGCTTTCAGGCAGCCTCAGTCAGTCAGTCAGCCAGGCAGCCTCAGTCAGTCAGTTTCAGGCAGCCTCAGCCTCAGTCAGTCACTTTCAGGCATCCTCAGCCTCAGGCAGCTCTCAGTCAG